TTGGTTAACCTTTGAGTTTTGTTACAGTTTAATTTTTGTGTTTTTCCTTCAGTTGTCTTCATTTTGTTAAAGCTTCGATTGTTTGGTTTATTGTAGAAAATGCGCTCAAAAGTAGCTGCTTCTAAAAGCAAAATGAAGATTGCTGGAAAAGGCGTTAAGTTTGATAATGCGAAAAGATTGAGGGAGTTGCCCTCAAGCCCTGATTCTGAATCTAATGTAAATGTCCAGGCGCCACATTGTGATGATTTTGAGTCTCCTGCTCCTCCTAAAAATTCACAACAAGAGAGCAGTCGGATGACTCGTTCTCAAACGAGAAATACTCCCACTCCAGTTAAATCATCGAGTGACTTGCCCTCACCACCTTCTTCTGAAGCGAAAACGCATGTCCGGGATCCCGATGATGATGATTTTGAGTCTCCTCCTCCAAAAAAGTTGCAACAAGGGAGCACTCGAGTGACTCGGTCGCAAACAAGTAATACTCCTACTCCGGTTAACATTGTTAGAATACGGAGTAAGAATTGTGGGAGACCTCAAAAATTAAAAGAAAAACTGAAAGTTGATTTGGTTAACGAAGATGATGTAGGCGGCAATGTTAAACCGAAATGGAGAAAGATCAAGGATGATGGTGATAGTGGCCTTGATTCCTTATCGAAAGAACAAAGGTTTGCTATTCGCTCCAAATTGAATGAGAGAAAAGCTCAGTTGAAGGTATTCCCTGTGTTGCTAGTAATTTATACATGCTTATACAATTTTATACAAAGTTATACAGTTGTTTATACATCTTTATACAAGTTCTGCTATACTTATTTATATATTTTTATAAAATGTTTTAGTATAGTTTCTGTTCCTGATCTATTTCTTGTTATTTTTTCTTGTGCAAGGTTGGGGACTTCTATATACAACCAGTTTGATTATTTCCACAACAGGAGCTCCCACACGAGACTGAGATTGCGAGCATTTTGAAGCAATATTTGACTGACACACGCTTCAGATGTTCCGTGCTAGTTGTTTTGGGTACTTCTTGGAACCTCCCTCATTTTAAAATTCAAAATCAACTTTTTCATTGTATATTATTGAGGGAAGTCGTCCCAGGACGTGAAAGGGAGTTTGGGTGCAAATTAATGGTTGTTTGTTGCGTTTTGGCACTGGAGAGTTTGCTGTTATCACTGGTTTGAAGTGTGTAGACGACGACGCCACTTTCTATGACAAACCAGATGTTAATAGGTTGCTAAAAGAGTATTTTCCAGGAGATGGAAAAAAGGCTATAACTAGGGGCAGCTTCTTGATCGCTTCAAGAAAAAGGACTGGAATCGGACGAAGATGCGTTCAAGATGGCCTTGATGGTGTTTGTCCATCATTTCATATTCTCAAATGCCAATAATCATGGTATCAACAAAGATGATTTTGATATCATTGAAAGTGGTCAATATCAGACGTATGCTTGGGGAAAAAAGTCATTTTTAGATATTTTAAGGACAATGAGGGACAGACAGTGTGACTATTTGACAATGCATAGGCTTTGGAGGTTTGCCACTTGCATTACAAGTATGGTTTTTTGGAGTGTTGCTCTATTGTTGACAAGCATCTAGTTGTTTCGCGTTGGAACAAATTTGCCAACGCATTCTTAATTGGAAAGTGACTGAAACTCCAACATATGCGGATTTGACTGGCGGGGTGATCATGTGTAGTATCGACAAGGTAAACATTTTGTTACCATAATACTTCTTCATATATTGATTTCAGTTTTTCTGTATGTTATATTTATGAATATGTTACAATTTCCTCTTTCTACCATTGTAATCCAGTTTTTTTTCTTGTAGTTGAACTATAGGGACATTTCCCCTACTCGTGAAGAGCTGTCAACTCTGAACATCGACACGCTTTTTGAAGTTAATGCCGATGATGTTGCATCAGGGGATGTGCCTATGGTGCCTGCCTTTCACACTGATGATTCTGTCGCTGCATCTCCACCTTGTCCTCAGAATATGGAGCAACAGTCTAAACGACCTTATCCTCAGAATACGGAGCAGCAGTCTAAACGACCTTTTCCTCAGAATATGGATCGACAGCCTAACCCGAGTTATGATCCTTTGGTGCGCATTAATCTGTTGAATGCTGAAGTTGAGAAGTTGAGGAGTGTTGTTGGAAAGGTACTAGACCTTTAACTTTTCTGTAGTTTATCAGTACTTTTTTGTATATACATGGTTTTTGGTTATAAACATGGTTTTGTTGATTTGCTTTTGATTTTTTTTTGTTGTAGTTGACTGATACAGTGACGACACTCAACAATTATGTAGTTTTCTTCCTTTGAAAAAGTGTTCAGTTTTTCTGAATATGAAGGAAACCAAGCAAACGAGGTAGGATTTTACTAATTCTAAGGTAATTGTTTACTGATAAACCAAATCACTCCAATAGTTATGCCTTCTCTGAATCATCACTCAACAGTTATGCCTTATCTTTCTATTGTTTGTTATTATATTCATCAGCGCTGTCTGATGACAATACATCTGATCTTGGCGAAATATGATGGCTATCAATATGATGTTGTTCCTGACTTTGTCAATCAAGTGAATCAAGATGACGTGCTAGCTGACGAGGGAGTTACTGATGGTGTTGATCATGGTATTGTTCTGCATTTTATTTCTTTTTTTTTGTCTGATTTTTTCTTTTCTTCATTTTAAAGTTTTTTATTATTTGTTTTCTCCGTCTAAGGGGTAGTAGGTGATGTCAAGGGTGACACATTTGGGGTGACATTGGCGATGAAGATTTAGCTGCGCTATAGATGTTCCAAATTGTGCTTCACAAACAATCCATCATAGACGTAGAAGATGATTTCATTTCTCCTGAAAAGTCAGTTCGACAGAAAATACCAGGAAAATATGCCAAATCTCCATATTTGCCAGTTTTTGATTCGGGGGCATCAGGATCGGCGCCCAAGCTCATTTTTGATATAGCATCCTTTCACGATCGAAATTGATGATTTTGATCCATTGTCGCATTGGCTAAAAGGTTTTGTGCATTTGTTGATAATGGGATGGATACGAGGTCGAAGGTATCTTCACTTTCTTTAATCTTTCATGTTCTGATTTTAAACTTGTCAATGAATTTATTCTGATTCCTTTTTATTTTTTGTGATTTGAAGTGCCAAAAATAATATACCCCGATGAAGTAAATAAGCTTGCGGAAGCTTTTTCTTTTGGCTCGTGTAATGTGACCACGAAGGATTGGTTCCACTCACTTGCATATTGTGGTCGCCTTTCATTGACACGGTATTTTAATAAATTTATGTTCTAATGCCTTTTTTATTTGTTGCATATCTTTATTATTTGAGACCCCTATAGTGTATACATAGCCTTGTTATAATCACAGTATAATTGTATAACATTGTATAAGATTGTATAACCTTGTAAAAATATGTATACCTCTGTATAATAGTGTATACATTTCTATATTTTAAAATATCTGGTAGTGATGGTTCTGTTTTATTTGTTGTTTCAGCACTTGGATGTCCTCTTTTATTATTTGAGGAAGAGGGGAAAATATGGGCCGAGTGTTGCCATGCGGTTTAACAACAACCGACTTTGCCTTTGGTAACAAAATCAAACTCCCTGTATAAAGTTTTCAAAGTGAATCAAGATCCTTCAGTGATTCCTGAAGGGCATGAGATAGAAGAGTACATTAGAGGATATATTGTGATGCAAATGTCCGTGACACTGTTGACCACGTCTTATTCCCTATCTATGTGAAGCGCGGAAGAGCAAAATTGGGCCATTGGGTTTTGGGGGTGTTTACCTTCATAGATAGGTGCATCCACATCTATGATTCTAATCGTGGAGCTATTAATGATAGACTTGTTTTGGATGCTGCATTACCTTATGCAATTCTAATACCTTACTTCTTGAAGAGTTTCTGATTTTTATGTCGAGAAGAAGGGCATTGATTGGAACAATGGTGCATATACCGATAAATCCCATTCTGATGCTTTGTAGATTAATCTGGTTAATAATGTTCCCAACAGATCAAATGGTAGGTTAATCTCAATTGTTTTACTATTTTACTATTAGTTTACCTATTTGATCTGATTTTTTTTTTTTTAATTACAGTGATTGTGGTGTTTTTTTCTTTTTAAGTTACTTTTGGCTATTTTTCAGGCTTCTTGCTGAGTATTTCATCCTTGGTAAGGAAATTCGAAAAGATAACTTTGACATTGAGACACTTCGCACCAGGTGGGGATCTCTGTTGTGGGATTATGGAAGGAAAAAACAATAGTCCGGTGCAATTAGTGGTGATGAAATCACAGGGAGACTTTTCAAGAAGAGGAAGAGGGGCCGACCGAGAAAAGTAGTTCTGTTTTTTCCATTTTACTGTAGTTTTTCTATGTATCAGGAGTTGTTGCCTAGTTTCGTCCAAGTACTATTCTGCTACTTGTGAGATAGCATTAAAGGATTTTATAGATGTTTTTTATTTTTGTGTAATTTGCGGTAGTCATTACACATTGTGGCTTGTGAATGAATTATATTTTAATGAATATATCAGTTGCTTTTGTCCTTTAACAAAGTATGTATTTTCATTATGGTTGCAGTTTTGTTGTTGTAGCAGGGTTTATACATATTTATACAAACTTATACTCTCATTTATACATCTGTATACATATAATACCAGCAGTTCTGTTTTGTATTTGTACAATGTATCAATATATTTAGCACCATTAAAAACAGCAAACACACTATTATTGGATAATCAAAACATGTATAATGAAAACATATTTAACACAATTGCAATATATAGCGTAAGTTGTAAATCTTTATTGACATTTGTAATTCAATTACTTGTGAGACTTAACTACTCAACATTTGTAACTCTATTCTTTGTGAAACTTAACTACTCAACATGACAACAAAATGTAATAGGAAGTGTTATGTTTTCAACTAGCTATTTTGGTCGATTCCTACATGTTTTTTCTACCCACCTTGTCCACACACAGAACATGAAAATGCCTCTTAGACTCTTTTTCTGAAGCAGGTTTGAGGTCTTTCCTTTCTTGGCCTTCCTGCATTCCTTCTCCCTTTAGGTGGTAGGACCACATCTTCCATCACCTCTGTTGGGATTACCCATAGACTCTCATCTGGCATCGGATTCACTGGAAATTCATAAGTTCTAAGGAGTTTATCCTTCTTGTAGTAAAAAGAGCAATACTGGCCAGGTTTCAGCTGCTGGTTCTTCAAAACCGCCCAAGCATGCGGACATGGAAGTTCATCCATTTGAAATTTTCCACAACTGCATGTTCCCTCTTCAAGGCACACTATGTTTCGCCTTACCCCTTCAAACACAGTATATAACTTGTCCGTAGCAGGCCTCACCTGCAAAAGTTTTTTTTTAAAAAAAAAGTGAAAGAACATTATACATTATTATACAGAGATATACATCCTTATACAAGCAGTAAAATGCAAGTCACCAGTGCCAAGCATCATTATATTTGATTCAATTTACCGTCATTTGCTCCGATGCAATCAGATTTTCCCGAAGGAGTTTGTCGTACTTTTCGCCAAGCTCTGTAGATGTCTCCATTGCACTTTTTTTATTTTTGATTGTTCCACTGTTGTAGCAAATTTGTCATGTACTCCAGCAATCGCATTACTGGTAACTCTCTAGCATCCTTGTTTGCTGCATTAATTGACTCTACAATATTGGAAGTCATTACCATCGACCTTTTCACTTTGGAATATGCCCTAGACCACCTTTCGTATCCAATTTCGAACAAGTAAGGCTGCACTCTCGGATCAATCCTGCACATCTCTATCATATGGTACTCAAACTTCTCTATCGTGTAAGCTCTAGCCAAAGCAAAGAAGATATCCTTCAATTGTTTGTGATGTTTCTTGAATGTGCGCTTTACATTCTGCCACAAGTGAAACATGCAAATACAATGTGGTACTTCTGGGTACACAGCTTTTGTGGCATTGAAGATGCTTTCATTTCTATCTGAAACTATACACATCCCTTCCCTAACTCCAAAAGTACCCTTTATCTGGACAAAGAACCACTCCCAAGATTTGTTATTCTCTGAATCTACAATTGCATATGCAAGTGGAAGGATTTTTCCTTTTTATACAAAATAGATATTAGGATTCAGACAATTATACAAATATTATACATAGTTATACACAATTATACAATTTTATACCAACTGCAAATTTTATAAAAACAGTAGCTGTGAAATCCTATACACTTTTATACATGAAACTACAACATTATACAAACTGCAGAAACAAGGTAGATGCAGTCAACTCACCAGTTCCATCCTGTGTGCAAGCAGTCAATATGTACCCTTATATGCTGCTTTAAGGAAACTTCCATCAACAACCATTATCGGTCTGCAATGCTCCCAGCCCTTGATAGATGCATATAGCGAAACATATGCATAAAGAAAGCATCCATCTTCTGATTTGTGCAACTTTGTAACCGTTCCTGGAGACTTCGGCAACTCCTTATATGAATCACTAGGACTCCCTCTTATCATTGCCATTGCTATCTCTTTAGCTCTCCATGCTTTCATGTAGCTCACCTTAATTCCGTGTTGCTTTTGTATGTCCTCTATTATATCATTTGCGGTGTAAACTTTTTTTGGATTAACATACTTGTCATTGACTATACTAGCAATTACACCCGAAGTAGCTTGACGTTGTGTTAAGTATCGTTCACCATAGCCGCATGTGTGATTATTGTTGTAACTTCTCACTTTGAATATGTTTGCCTTGAAAACGGCAGAAGATTTGAAACTCCAAGCACAATTTTCATCCATACACATAAGGTGATACCTAGGATTAAAGATTATTCAACTTCTAAATACACTTGTAGACAAAAACATAACTACATATATACTAATTTTAATACCTAGATACAAATATATACTACTTTATACATATTTATACATATATATAACAGAATATACAATTATTTACATACCTTGTTGCGCTTGATCTCTTCACCTTGAATTGGAACTTTTCACGTACAGCCAAGTTCTTCATCACACTGACAACTGTCTCTTTATCCTTATAAACTTGATCTTCCTCGACAAATTAGTTCAATATATCATCTATTATACCCGTGTTTTTACTAAATTTCGTGTTTTCAATAAATTTGATATCAATAATCTCAGTGCTATAAATTGTTGATACATCTCTAGAATCTGAACTTGTACCAACCAAACAGCTGGAACTTGTAGCAACTACACAACTAGAACTTGTAGGAACCAAACGATTTTCATATATCTCTTTCATTGTCACAAACAAAGGATATTCAGTGAAATTCAAGTTTTTCTTCTTTAATTCGATATACACCTTCACACATGTATCGTTGTAAATCAGGATCGGTGGAAAACCAACATTTGGGAGAAAGTTAATCTCTATTGTGTTTAACTCACTATCGATCCTAATCTGTTCCAAAATAGTTGCAACTAAATTGTTGTAGGTGAATGTCGACTCGATTATTACACAATCGCTGACGAAATTGATAAACTTGTTTTCTTCCCATTCACCACTATGAAGAGCGTAAACTGGAAAAATCTCCATCGAACAAAAAATGGAAATCAAAATTGAAGCAAAAACTAAAATTGCACTGATTTGCAGCAAACAAATTTTACTTTTCGTGTTTGATTTGTTGTTAATTCGAGATAAAGAAGAAATTCTAGGGTTTTTGGAGCTGCATTCAAGGGAAGATCTCGTTTTTGAAGTATTTGGGGAAGAAGATTGGAAAGAATTTGAGAAAATGCAGAAAATCCCGTTTTTTACTCCCAAAAAAACGGAATTAACGCTCCTTTTTCAGATATAGGCCTATAATTTTTGGGCTACTCAATTGTAAATTGAAATAAGGTCTATAAAGCTGAAAATGAGGCCGCCCAATTGTTTTAATATGAAATTTTCCCTTAATTTAATTTGTCTATAACACTTCTTTTCACTTTCGATGCCCATATAGCGAGGTGAAATTATTTTTTTTGCCACGTTACCTTTTGGGTGACAATAACTCCACTTTAAACAAGAATAGCGGGGTGTTCGTTCACACGTAAAGTATAGGTGTGTAAATGACTTTTTCGAACAAGTGTAATAGGTACTGTATGCCTTTTCTCTTTATCTTTTCCAATATTCTTCACATGCATATGAAAAACTGTAGGAAAGTTTGGGACTACACATAAGGAGTGCTTTAAGGCCCGATAGGGTTATTAGTTAACCTTAATATTTCCTATATAAGTACAGATACAGTGTACAACTAAAGACACTGAAATATGCAGTATTTTACTATGCTTAGTCTTCTCTCAATCTAACTAGGGTTTAGACTGTGAAATTAGGGTTTGCTCCAACACACCGTGACAACCACCGCCGACCAGTAATTTGAGTCGCGGTTCATCCGTCTTTTACTTCCACTAAGAAGAACAAGTAAGTTATCTATTTATGATTTAAATGCTATCTAATGTGTTTAGATTAACGTATTCTTTCATTGGTATCAAAGCCATATGCTGATTTTCTAGTCCGGAGTAAAATATAGAATAATTTTGATTTTCTATGTGAATGTTAAAATATCTGTATTTTTCTGGGATATTGGACTGATTAATTTTTTTAATCTCCATACGATGATTATTTTATCAGTTTAATTGAAATCAATTTTCGGATCTGATCAATAAGAAAAAATTTAGTTTGTTTAATCAAACCCTTTGATTAGCAATCCAATCCCATGTTGCCTTTAGAATACCACCATCACCTATTAACTTGTCATGACCCAAATTCCATAATAGGTCGCGATGGCGCCCAACAATGCGGTTAGGCAAGCTAACGGTGAACCTCCAATTTAATTATCCAATTTAGCCTTTAAACTTAGAATTTTCATTAATTAAATAGGAACTAAACATGAAACTCATGGAAACATATGCACTGCTTTACCAAAAATAATGGGTACGAATAGTACATAGAGTAATATGATAGTAACAACAAGTAGAACTGTGAAAATCTCTTAGAAGCCCCCAAAATCCAGTGTCACAAGTGCATGATCAATCTAGCGAATATACAAAAATACGATAGCTAATGTCCGAAATAGAATAGACAGAAATAATAAATAAGGTAGAGGGAGACTCCAGGTACTGTAGATCGAAGCAGGCCAAGCAGCTCACCACTAAGTCTCCGTAAAACTGCGACTACGCGCCCGTGTGACCACTGAAAGTACCTGTCTCAGTACCTGCACAATCAATATAGAATTGTAGCCTGAGTACATAAATCAACGCGTACCCAGTAAGTATCTAATTTAACCTCGAAGAATAGTAACGAGGGGTCGACTTGACACTTACTAGTGGTCAAGTAACAAAATACATAAAGTAGACATATATGAAGTGCAACAAGTAGCAATATAACAGATAAACTTTAGTAGTAAATCTCCAAATATGGATCATTATGAAATCACTAAAATGTCATAACTAGCCTCGAAGGCACGGACTTAGCTGATATCAATACCAATCAAGTCTCAAGTGTTAAGCACGAGTCTGCCCAGGCGAATGACCCGATCCCATAGGAATAGTGATACACAGTATTGTCGAGGTGAATGATATGACCCCATAAGAGTAGTGTTACCTTACTGCCGAGGTGAACAATCTGATCCCATAAGAGTAATTGATAACACTACCGAGGCGAATGGCCCACTCCTATTAGAATAGAGAAGCTATATCACTCGCGAAAATACATGCGAGTTGGGAAGACACGGATCTATTGTTTCATCAAATATTCCATAATTTCCAAAGTAAAGGAACCAGTCAATATTTTATTCTAGCCTCAGTCCTAGTCATAAATTAAGGAAATCAAATATGCATGGTAAATACAAATAACACATTTAAGGCATGATGTGAATGTAAGTCTATCCGAACATAACATGAATATAGCTACGTACGGACTCTCATCGCGTCGTGCATACGTAGCTTCCACAATAAATAGCACACAACAATTAATACGCCTAAGGGAATAATTCCTTCTTACAAGGTTAGGTAAGAGACGTACCTCATTTTCAAGCTCACTACTCGGTTTTAAGACCTCACCAGTAGATCCCAAACAACGCCCGAGCAATTCGAAACTAGCCAAAAACCGTACAAACTAATCAATATATAGTCAAAAGCTCATAATTTAACTATTAAAGTGATTTTCCAACCAAATTCAGAAAGTCCATAAAGTCATCCCCGGGCCTACGTGCATGGATTATGGAAATTTTCGAAGATAAACGTTACCCATATAATTTATCCCCAATTCCATAATCAATTTCGTAGTCAAATCCCATTTTTACTAAATTCTAGGTTTCCAACAAAATTCCATAATTTTTACTAATTTTCATGTTAAATCTACCCATAATCCATATATTTAACTCAAAAGTTGTTAGAATTCACTTACCTTGTGTTGCTTGATGAAAGTCCCTCAAAATAGCTCCCCAAATTCTGCCAATCCAAGTGGAAATGAGAGAAAATAGAGCTAAGTCCCGTAATAAATTCAAGTTTGCCCAAGCCCCCCTTATTTGCGATCGTAGAAGGCCTCTGGCAATCGCGAAGGCTAACTGCCCAGTTGACCAAATTCGCCTTATGTATTTGCGACATGCTGATCACGTTCGCGATGCCCAACGAACACAAGCTTTCACGTTTGTAACAACCCGGCCGATCATTTTGTGTAGTTGTGCCCAGTTACCCTTTTTATGCTTCACACATATGTGTTTATGATTTTATTACTTGTGGGGTTGGATAGTTTCATTTCGGGAAGCTTTCGGATTGATTTGGACCCTTTGATTCTTGGCTTAGAGTCCTAAGTTAGAAATGTTGACCAAACTTTGAATTTTTTAAAAACGACCCCGTAATGATATTTTGATGGCTCTAATAGCTTCGTATCGTGATTTTTCCTGGAATTGAGTTCGGAAGTCCGTAGATTGATTTATGTTGTTTTCCAAAATTTGGCAATTTGAAATTGAAAAGTTTGACCGTAGGTTGACTTTTAGCTATCGAGTTCGGAAATTGATGTTGGGACTTGGAATAGGTCCGTTATGCTATTTAGAACTTGTATGCAAAATTTGGTATCATTTGGAGTTGATTTAATAGCGTTCAGATGTTTAATTGTAATTATACATATTCTTGAACTTTTGCTTTGAACATGTATTTTAGTGTTTGATTTGTGGCTTTAGACGTTATTTTTGTGTTTTGATCGCGCGAGTGAGTTCATATGACTTTTTTAGACTCGTGTGGATGTTTGGTTTAGAGCCCCGAGGGCTTGGATGAGTTTCAGATATGTTCAGGAGTGTTTGGTACTGAAATTGTAGAACCTGGTGTACCAATGCTTCATGTATTGCATTTGCAAACACCAGGTTCGCAATTGTGAGCTTAGCAAGGCAGCCTCAGGTATCGCTATTTCGATATCAGGCTCGCAATTGCGAAGTGGTCTAGGTCTTTGGGTAGTTCGCATTTGCGGCTAAGTTGTCGCTTTTGCGAAGGGGGCAGGGTTCGCATTTACGAACCCA